AGTAAANGAATCGAACAAGAGTCGAAGAACTTTTGCCAATACNGAATGGAANAAGATTATTCGAGAGACACTTTATTTAGAGACTATTTACATTCCTTTGGACGCTACTTCTCANAGTCCNGATATTATATTCAAATTACAATCTCCTGTGGAACCCAAAGTTCTTACTGTTGGAGTTGCTTGNAAAGGACGTTGGAGGTCGGAAGGAATTGGCTGGTCAGATATTATAGANGAAGCCAAGAAATTTTTAGATCCTGTTTANGATCAAGTCTTATCCAGTGCAATGGATTCTCATCATTGTATGCTTATTATCGTNAGTACAAAGTTATCCTTGAATGTTTCNAANGAGTTGGGNAATCAGAGTCGTTGTTACTCCAGTGGAATGTTTATTGGAAANGATTCGTTCAAAGTACCNGANAATTGNGAACTTGTTATTCTTTGNGAAAGAGATGTCCAAATGCTGATNGACGAAGAAATATTGAGCGGACTNGAAAGAGTATTTGGTGTTTCTCANAATCCTCCTTTTTGGGATTTTGGATTAGATTTACTNGANAGAATCCGNAACAGTTTCTTAAGTTGGCAATAGATTCTAACTCAATCCTTCCCTTTGTTTTGAAGAGCAAATAACCTTTTTTTTGTATGTTTGAAACTTGGTTATTACAACTTATTTGCTTGTCTTTTGGACACCATACAGTCTTCTTTGAAAAGATTTTATTAGTTGGCTTTCAAGGCTGGCTTATAATCGTTTCGTGTCAATTTGCAATAATATTGCAGAGTTGTAACAATGATTCAAAATGAATAGACTATACATACATACATGTTGATACAACTAGAATGAAAAATATCCTTTCTTGTCCAAATACTTAGTAAAGTGGTTACCCAAAGGATATCTCAAAACATTCTTCAAGTGTCTGCTATGTTGTCTTTCTAGTCTGTTGAAAAAAGACTAGTAACTTTTTTACTATAATTTTCAAAGACTGAGACAGAAAAAGTTGTTTGTAGATTTCACTTGGACTGTCCTTCTTGTCTTTTGTTAACTGAATAGAAGAGAGTTTTCCTCGGTTTTAGACAACAAACGAAGGGAATGGCAGCAAAAACTTGAGGCTTCCTCTAACTTGAGAACCTGCACTGCGGTCTCAAAAAGAGTTTTAGCTTCTTGAAATTCGATAAAAGTTTAGATTCCTTTCGTTTTTAATAAGTTTTTTTCAAACTGCATTTCTAGCCTTGGAATTCATATGAATGGCTTCTACAAATATGAAACGTATTGGAACCAAGAGAAAATATAGCAAAGATAAGAACAAATACTAAAAAAAGTATTTTAGTTTGCAATTCAAACTCTATCTCAAAAGTAGTCACGACACTATATATCCAAACTCTGTTTTAGTGAATTAGACTGAAAACTCACCGACTCTTAGATAGGGAAAGTAACCCGGTTGCAAAGATGATATTCGATATAAAAAATTTCGTTTGACTATTAATAGAACAAGAGCATCTTAAATGATTCTACCCATGTGACAAACAGAGAAAAAAACTTTCTATTTCAGACAATCACCATTTACATAGGAGTTCTATTTATATTGCATTGCAAAGGACAAGTTTGAGAGTGGAACAGAATTGTTTCTAATTAGTCAAAGGAAACCATATCCAATCTTGAAGTATTGTCATTCTATAACAATCACTTGACCGATAACTTAGGAACTACAAAGTCTTTCAGCCAAGAGTCATGTTGGGTAAAAGTTCTTCAATATGGAGTGGCCTTCAGTTGGAGAATTGCTGAAGCTTTCAAGTTGGTACACTACTCGACCTTGACTCAAGTATACAAGGCTTCTTCTTTAGTAAAATTATTTTTTGGTTCAGTCTTTTGCTCTTTTTTCAGCATCGATGTGTGGAAAATGAAGGGTTATAGTGACTACATTTGAAGCCTTTATTGATGTCCTTATATAAGACATATTCACAACTTTGTAAAAGTCGAACAAAGGATAGACAACTTGTGTAGCTATTACATCAATAACAGCTTGTATTTAATGATAAGTCAGTATGACAGTCTACATAATACACTTCTCCAAACTCATTTAGATATTTTGTATTTAAAAACTCTGCTACGACCAGTTTCAAACTAACAGACTTCCCATTCATTGCAATTCTCTGTTTCCCACTGTATTTCGTCTGTAACTTACAAAAGGTTTGTATCTTATGAGTCGTGTATATAGGAGTTTGCGTGTAAGATGGTATGGAAGATAGTAGGAAAACTCCCTTACAGTACACAAGCCATAGAAAGAGTACCCATCAATCTAATTCACCACAAAAATTCATAGAAACCTATTTCTTGTCTACAGTAAAAGAAAGTTTCTAGTTATGACAAGCAAGAAAATATTCCTGCTTTCTCTCTATTGTCATTGTGAGTCTGGAAGTGTCAAAGAGATCAGTTTTACCAATCACCAAATAAAGCAATCGCTCGAACAATAAAACATACACTCTCTTCCATCTCCTTTGAAAGTTTTTCGGTCATTGATTTATTCATTGCTTGTGAATTGATTTCGGATTGGCGGCGGCGTGTAAAATGAGTTTGAACGAACCTTTGATAGATAGAAAAGAAGATGTTTATTCTATTCTTCGAACTTATTACTACCAGTTTTCTTCAGCTGGGGGAAAATTAGATCTTTTACGTCCTGGAGCTTGCTTCTCCCCTCACATTTTTGGGGCGGGCAAAAGCTTTGTAGGTCAAAAATTTTTAGAGTTTTTAAAAAAATTCGCCGACGAAGAAGAAGAGCAGACGAAGACGGAGGTTTTCAACAAGAGCTCGTCGGGAAAAGTTGATGCGAAGATTTTTTCTTGGAAGCACTTTGCGGAAAACACTTTGTCAGTTTGCTTTAAACTAGGAGAGAGCTTTTCTGGTGCTCCTTTTCCAAGTTTTCTAGAGGCTTTGATGTATAATATAGTTTTGGCTACAGCCGAGTGTAATGGTATGAGTGCCCGAGAAATTGTTGAATTTACGGACGCAGCGATGAAGCAATTTGGTGTTTTTTTATTTGTTGATTATCTTCTCGAACAGTTTCAGAAACAATATTTATTTTTGATGATAGACGAACTTAGCCACCTGAGTGACCTCACCAAATACTATAGTGAACTTACCATGAAACAGTTTGTCGAGTCCGATCCTGGTTATATCCCGTATCGCAAATTTTTTCGAACTGTATATGAGTTGCTTGATACAGGAAAAGTTATCTTGTATCTTGCTGGGCGAACTGCTGAAATCTCAGCCCGCCTGTCTGATGCTCGCTCCAGTAGAGTGAGTCTCCGTATGTTGCGGTTGAATCCCTTTAACCTCCATGATATTAACGAATATATTGAGCTGGCAACTTATGATGGAAAGTCCTTGAAGGACTGTTTATTGCCCTCTGATGAATTACGATATCGATTCGTAGAATTGTTGAAGAAGAAGACAGGGGGTATTCCGTTGATTGTAAAGAATACTTTACTAGCCCTAGTAGGGAAACTTGCAAACTTATCTCAACCTGTTATCAACAATGACAATATGGAATTTTTATTAGATAGTGTCTTTGCAGATATACTAAATGAGTCGGGAACGTTTATTATTCCGGAGATATTAGATTCCGCAACCCTTCTTCGATATGAATTTGTCTTTTTGAATTATCAGCTCGGAACAGTTTTTCCAGTCGGATTTGCAATTACTCTATGTGGAACAAAAACTTATTTGATGGACTTGGTTGCAACTTTTGGGTTTTATTCTGAAATTTGTGAAACTGACGGGATTGATTTGGGCACTAAGTTCAAGATTGGTTGTTGTGAATTTATATTGCGAGCTCATAGCAACTATAGCTTTTTCCGTGAGGCTACTGAACTCTTTCCTTTATCTCCGTTTAGTTATATTCCCGACACTTCAACAGCAAAGGGAGTCTTCTTTGAATTTGTATTTATGAAGATCTTTCGTTTTCGCTTATTAACTTTTCTTCATTCTAGTTCCTCGCCTATTGTACATTCTGCTATTCCAGGAATTTTCCAGGGTTCTTTTATTGAACAGGACAATGTTTCTTATTCTATGGAATCAACAAAATCTTATGATATACCCATCTTGAGAGATGTCTCTGATTCATTTTCTGTTCATTATAGAGATTATTTACAACGTTGTGGTATTTTTGTTCCAAAAGATGGCAATTCTAGTGGCCCTGATGCATTTGTTGTATTCCATAATGGACAGACACGTTATGTTGTTGGATTTTCATTCAAATTTTATCACAAAAGTAACTTGTCGAGAAATGTTATTGAGGGGGAAGCAGCACAATTTTTTAAGGGAGTTGTTTCCGTTTTGAATGACGAATCTTTTTCATCTGTTCAACTTCGTTTTCAGTTTGTGGTAGTATGTACTAGTTATGATCGATCTGTAGGTTTCTCTACCGAGGAACATAATATTGTTGAAGATGCAAGTGGTTTTGTGACTCAACATTCTTCGGGATCAACTTTGAATGAAAGTAGTCGATCATGTCTGCAATTGGTAATTGTTTCTCAAAGGAACCTTGAAGTGTATTTGGGAAGAGATAATGTCGAAACATTGAGGAAAATTGGGGAAGCAAACCGAGGAGAGTTTTCTAAAGACTTTTCAGTATGGTGTGAAACTGTCTTTGAGTCGATGTCCAATGCATATGTTTCGTCTTTGGAAACGGAGCAATCAAATGTTACTTTAAGAGTGGCTCGAAATATAAGACCGAGAACAAATGAGGAGAATAGGATGCAAATGGAAGAGCTTCAAACTGCTATGCAAGTGCGAACGAAGTGTTGCAGCATCGAGTTCTTTGTCTTCGTCATTTGATTGGAATGCTTTCTTAAGAGACTGTTGTGGTCTTTCTGAAGAAGATGTTGCTTATTGTTTTCCTAAGGTGTCCTTTATTGGTATGGTCGATTTTCCAGGGGTGACCACAGAGTTTTTACGGGACTTGGGTATAGATAAACCTTCGTTGAGGTTGAAGATAAGATCTTCTATAAGGTCATATCTCGCTAACGAACGATGAATGTATTTGAGAGCTTTGTCATTTTTTCAATATGTTTCATTCGTTGTAGTTGCAACTCATAAATACAAAATTTTCTTTTATTCTATTATCGAACATTGGAGATGTTAACCTGCTTTACTCGATTTTGAGCAAATGCTTTCACAGGAGATATGGAGTCTTTCATGTTTAGTGAGTTTTATTGAAGAAAATATTCCACTAAAGGAAATTTAAAAAGCTATTGGTATAATAACTGGTATAGATAGAATTTATCTTGATACCATAGTAATATTGCGACAGGAGAAAGATAGCGTTGTAAGGAAGTTCTGTCAACTCCCTAACGACGCTTAAGCCTTTCAACAAAGTTGAGTTTGACCGAAATTAGCTTTGCAAAGAAAATCTCAGTTCGATTGCAATTAGTTTTGATTTGTTCTCATGTTGTGTGCAGTGATCAGTCCAATTCGGATGCTTTGTAAGGTCAACTTGAAAGTGCGAGATGGTCACTTTTCAATTTCAACGCGGAGCAACTCTGTTAACTTGTCATACAAATAAAAGGCTCAAGGAGCACTCTTTCTTCAATTATCAACCGTTAGAAATTTTGAGCAATGAACTTTTTAAGATTTGTCCTAAGCTTCACAATCAAACGTTTGAGCATTGGACTTTTAAAGAAGATTGATCGATCATTGTTGTATTTTTCTGTTGCATAATTTACTTCATAGCTTACGATATGTCTAGTGAGCTTGAACCAGAAACCGTATATGACATGGTTGTAGTACACCGAGAAAATGATGTTCGTGTAGTAACACTGCAGTTATTTCAGCTATACACTCTCCGTAAACTTGATCGCCATTTCAAACCAGTCATACCCTTTGGTCCTCACCTCTTCGGAAGTGGAAAGACGAAATTCGTACAAAGTTACTTGGAACTGGTGAATAATATGGGTGAAAGTGCACTGATAGGTCTCGATTACGTTTATGAGTCTGAGAAGGCCAACCGAAGAGGTTTCCTGGAGAAATTAAAAAGGGCTTCGTTGCTTTATGCGGATTTAAGGCGGTTGAAGCCCACAGTCCCCATAGAGTTTTTTCGAAACCTGAAGTGGGCAGTCTACTATTTGTTAATAAAGGCTGCCTGCTCTCAAGTTGGCGCGGAAATTTTTCGAAAGTAAGAAGCCTTCGAAATGGTG